TTTTTTATTGGCCATGAGGTGCGCAAGGTTAATCAAAACATAAGTTTCGAGTTTTTCATATCTGGCTTTCGTGAGCACGATTTCCAGATCAAACGGCCGACAATTGGCTTTCAATGAATGTTGCGCAGGCTATGCAAGATTCTACCACGAATAACGTTTTGTGCTATATAATGCAAAAAGCTACACATTCTTCCCAGTGGTTACGGAAGCATGAGACGCAATCGAATAACTTAAGATTAGCGCTCTGACGAAGTATGTGAGCACAAGCAAGCACCTTAAACTCACGGATAAATAGGAAAGACCGCCACGAGAAAGGGCCAAAACAAGAGCACCTAGCAATATTTGGTTCACCACACATCCAGTACCCTCCCGAGCCACCTCTCGGGAGATTAAAGACCTACAAGTGAGTGCTGTCATACAAACGTTCCATAACGTAATAGAGCAATTACGTACTGAGAAGCATAGTTACTAAAAATGTAAATATTGTTGTCTAGAGCAGGTTTTCCCACTTAAAAATATACCAAAAATTGTAAGTGAGCTTATTGCATCACATTTGATGTTTGCTTCACTATCTGCAAGTGTGGAACATTCCATTTAAAGGAAGCGTTTCACGTTTGCATGAGGTTCTGAGCTGTGATAGCTGTTTTGAAGATCATTCGGTGCAGTTCACAGCCCTGTCCTTAAGACTTGAAACCCTTGTCTCCGAGTTAGAGTTAGACGCCCGCGAAGTCGTGAAGACTGTTTCGTGCAGACTATTTCGTGGTCACCCAGGTATGCATGACGCAATACAAATGTCACTGAAATCCTGCCCCTCATTGGCAACGCGACGTTTAAGACCAAGACAACATAATTGCAGAGTTATTCGTGTCCGGCGTGCAATAGGACGATTTCTGGAACCAACGGACTTCAATTGACTCTCGACCAATGCCATGCAGTCAGTGAGAATTTCCAACACAATTCAAGTTTTGTGCTACATAATACAGGCAGTCGAACATTGGAACTGTTATTACGGAAATAAAACTTGCGACCTGAGAACTTAAGAACAGCACCATAAGCGAGCATGTGAACGCAAGTCAACATTATAAGATCACGGCTTAATATGCAAGGACATCAGGAGGAATGGCCAAAACACGCGCGAACGTTATGTGGGTTACGGAAACGCCACAACCGTTAGCACGACGCTTCTCGAGAAGTTAAAGTAAAACAAGTGGGTCAGTCCGTCCTGTAGGCTGACAATTTCGTAGGCCAGTTTCGCAATCCCTTAGACGTCATACAAGCCTTCTATGACGCAATCAAACAATGACGTATTGAGGAACATGTTTACTAAATAGTGAAAGAATGTGTTCTAGAGCAGCCTTTCGCAGTTACAAGTGTACCAATATTTACAAATGAGCCTATTCCATCATATCTGGTCCTTGCGCTAATTAATCAAATGTGGTGCGTTCTCTTTAAAACTACTGGCAAGTTTAAAGCATCCACGTACGCATAACAAATGTTGTGCTTGCGATGCCGTAATTGCATACTTGCTTGTCCTGCAAGAGAACAAAAACAAGCCTTTGAAGCCAATATGTTAATTTCTGCAGGATCCCTATGTCGCAGAAAAGTTGGGTATTAAATATCGGCACATAAAAATTCATAACGCCCTCCACATCGCAGGAGATGTTTGTCATGTACTTGTTTAAAAGTTTTCGGTACTTTTTCTTCGAGAAACAATACATTTGATTTCGCACTAAGGCGACCTGATAGTAATGCGGGTATTTGCAGTAATGAAACAACAGCTCGACACGTAGTCGCATTGAAGCCAGAAAGGCTGTCACTTTCGTATGTCTTCGTACATACGAAATTGATCAGCGATTTTACGCCATCCTTTTTGCTGTTAATTAAGATGATACGATACATGAGCCGCAGCCTAAACTCATCGCTTCTAAGAATATTCGCGTTGATGATGTCATATCCTCAGGGTAACATGAAAGAGGAATACTTTATCTATGTTACGTGTCATTCGCCCAATCTTCTGTGGAGGTGCAGCATTCAGTGATGCTGTTAATGTGTGTCTGCCATCGAAAACATATTTTTAGACATGATGCTAAGCACTTGGTCCTTTGTGGTGTCTGATTACTGCTGATGCCGTTCAAAACGCACCGTGTTAGCCGGCAAACGGGCCGTCGCTGCCGGTGCGGCAGCGGCGTCTCCGCGACGGTGTGAGCGGCCCCTCTGCCGATTGGTCCTCACCGTCTGGGGCCCATACGTGGGCCACGTGGGTTTATGGAACACGCGGGCGGAGACGCACGGTCCTTGCCGATCAGTCCACGTTCAGGCTCCGACGGCGCGGCTCGACGTGAGCCGCGTCAGCCTTTACGATGACGACGACGACTTCGGAGTGTACGACGCCGCCCATCCAATGCCTCTCTTACCTTTACCTTGCAACTTTTTGGCTTATAGAGACTTTTCCTTTTCAACGTCGGTTTTCGAATCAGGTCGATGGTCCTCCGGAAAACTAACGATCTCTTTCACACGAACGCACCGTTTGCATTGACATAGTCATTAGCGGTCCTGTCCCAGCCATCCATCGAGTATTGGGATGTTGTAGACTAAACAAGTAAACCGACGAGCCTGGGAGTGCAGCGAGTCGACTCAGAGTGAAATCATGTGGATCAAGCATTCATAAATGTTTGTATTCACGGCAGATGTATGAGAATCCCACAGCTTCAGCCATCTGACCCGGTACCTCCGTGGAAACTGGAACCCTGGCATTATGTGGAAAATGGAACCGCTGGATTCTGTGGAAACTGGAACCACTGCATCCTGCGGAAACTGGAACCACTGCATCCTGTGGAAACTGGAACCACTGTATCCTGTGGAGCAGACTTACCATCGCCAGTCGTCTTTGGCTAGTTGTATGCCATCGATGCGTTTTCTGTTCTGTTTTAACAGCAAAGCAACATAAAGGATGACTTTCAGTGCCGTGCGCTTGGCCTGGTGTCGCTGGATTCCATGAGAACGTGTAAATCGATCACATCGGAGTCAATTAATGGCAATACCATGCCGACCACACGCCGAGAAGTGTTTTAACAGCAGCAACAGCGCAAGTGAGGCTTCCAGTGCCGGGTACCTGATCGAAGATCACTGGCTTCTATGGGATCAGGTGAATTGACTCAATGAGCCAGTTGGTTCCGGGAATATCAAACAGGTTTTCCCATTGCTATTTCCACCCGAGTCCCCTTTCAGCGATGTCCAGAATGTGTAGTTCTTACAGCGGCCTGTGGTGGCGCTGCTTACGTCATAGCCGCTGGGAGCCTGGAACGGGTGGTTCGAACTCTGCAACCATTACAATTATGATTTACTTCTAAACCATACCTTTATGCAGTTAAAATACTTCACTTTTCTTCAGACAAACTTTACTCAATGACTACACTGTGGAATTTGCATCGCCTTTGAACAGCTACGCTACATGACAAAGTGAACTAAACGGCACTGTGACCACATGATCAGACTCACCCATTTCGAGCAAAACTGCTGGCAAAGTACACTAAACGTTTCTGTGACCACGCACACCCACACTCGGTTAAGAGCAAGGTTGCTGGCAAAGTGAATTAAACAATAATGCGACCACATAACCAGACTCACCGGTTAAGAGTGAGGCTGCTGACAGAACGAAATAAACGGCTCCATAACCACGCAACCAAACCCGCTCATTAATCGGAGTGTTCCACATTTATATTTTTTAGTGAAATAGGAATCTTGAAAACCTTTCGGTGCTGTTCACCATCCTGCCCTTCTTAAGACCTAGGCTCGTTTTTCAGAGACGCTCGGCAAGCATTGTGTTAGGGTCTTGGACGCTATACGGACGCTTCGCAAGCATTGCGTAAGCATTATGTGCAAGCAAAGCCTGATTGGACGAGTGGGAAGACGCTTGGCTGGCATGGTTTTCAGGGCCGGACACTCCACTGTCAGCCTGAGGGCCTTGCATGGTAACCAGGGACCCCTGAGTCGACCAGGATCTGTGTGTCGGTTAGACATCACCAATAACGCGCAGTCGACTCCGCACCAGTATGGGCCTGAGGTCATATTCCACAAGCAGGGACGCAGCCCGAGCCAGTGATTTACATTGGTCGGGGCCCCAGCGTCTCTCAGTGCCCCAAAAGGGCGCCTAAAATGGGGCCCTGTTGACAAGGGGTCCCCGGTCGGCCAGAGACAATACTCGAAGAGGCCCGAAAAGATAGGAAGGCACACCGGAACCGACGGGGCGTATGCTACTTTTGCGTCTTTGAGAATGTCCTCTGGACAGATTTACAGTTATAGCAACAACAAAAATAGAGATTATTCCCGTACTCTTCCAGTTCCCTCATCACATTCCAGCACCTCTTCGCGGTGCTGTTATTGCAAACCCGCGATTACCATCAATCTACAAGTCGCACCGGTGAAATCGACGCCCGGGGACTTGAACGTTGAACATTTCCAAACGTGGTTTGGCCATGTTCATGCAAGTTGTTTACCCATTTCGATCTACGATCACATTCGCGGGGTTTCTTACACCTCTGTAGAACCCAGAGAAAAATGCTGACGAAGCTGCTGAGCTCTATCGGTTTCAAGAGTCCACTGGATCACATAGCAAAATGAAGAGCGCCGGCGATTTTCTTCGTGCAAGCGTTTAAAGCGCGCTTTCTTCAGTTTGACGACGAAATTCTGGCAGGATTTACTTCCCACAGCTTCTGGCCGCTAAAAACAATTATGGAAGGAAAACATGAAAAATAGTACAGAAAAACATGCTCTCTGACCTGCGTGATGGACCATATCGCACCATTTCTTGGGAGGGGGGTCACTGTTTCACCGTGATTGCACCCTTTGTCAACCCTGTGCCCCCTCACCTGCCAAGGCTCTGGCTGCGCGCACGCTGACCTATAAACCAAGTCGCCACACCGACGACGAGCAGCAACCACGGTTTTTAAAAAAAATTAAAACAACAGGTAGCCGTCTGTTGCCGCGACGATAAACAAATGTCGCTTTCGAGTCGGCGTATATTTTGAATCGCCAGCAGGTTGATGCCTCAATCCCATGCAGTGGATGACTTGACTTAATGAAGATCACTTGGTCCGCCGTGCGTGTGCAATATTCTTCAACGGACTCGCCAAACAAAACCGAGTTCCCATCTCCCCAGGAGCGCTGCAAAAACAACATGGGCTTAATTACACACGCGTGTGATGGTGGTAAAGGCAACAAGGTGGTGACGAACTGCCCTGCATGATTCCAATGATGCAACACCCGGCTGAGCCACGGATGCGTTCAGAGCCGTCTCCGCACTCAGTGTGAATAAAACAGTACACAAAACACAACAAGCATGGACCGGCTACTCTCCACGTGACATGTCAACGAATTATGGCAAGATAAACAAATGCTGTGTGCGGGATTGTGGGCATGGTAAAGATAATTTCCCATACGCTGGTCTCTACCAGGTGAGTGATCATGTTAAGTCGATTAACATACCTTACAAACCATCAAAATCATGTGATGACATCTCGTAATACGTCAAATATGATCAAAGAGCCTCAACACCGCAATCAGAAAAAACAACGCAGTTTCTCGAATTAAAATTCAGTTACTCGCAACACAAATTAAAATTGTAATGGACGCAAAAATTACGATTCGTTTGGTTGAATACTGAACACCAAAGCTTCCAGACTTTGACCTTAAGACCACATCACCTTATGTAACAAGCAACAGTCAAGTCAGTATTGATTTGTTTTATTTTAAGCACGACTTCGGTTTCCTGACCGATCCATCGCACACGCGCGTCAAAAATAAGCTGTAATACAAATCTGAAGCACTTGGACGTCTCCGAGTGACCCAAACTTAAAATTATTCCGCGATATAAAATTGTCATAATAATGTAGATACCTCATCTCCTAGGAACAATAAACATCCCGTCCAAAAATCCAAACCAGAGAAACACGGATCAAATTTGAGCGGGACGAAGCGATGGCAGTCAAGCCCAGCACTTGGCTAATGACGTCATATCTTCGTGACCTAAACCACCTATGTGAATTTATGATACCACGTGTTCAAAAGAATACTTTAATAGGTGTCCAAAATATTAGGCATTCACTGGGAATACAAAAAAGCATCTCGGACATAAGTGAAGAAAAACCAGATACACATACATTCCACAAAGGGTCGCGAGTCGAGTCATGGTTCAGTGATTCCAGAAATCGATATGAGAGAGCTATTTGAGCGAGTTTTAAAGGTGTAGTCCAGGGGGAGAGGTTATCCTCGTCTCGTAAAACTCGTCGAGAAGAGCTTTCACTGAGCCCCAAGCTCTCCCAAGGAAACCCTTACTGCACCTTTGGTGAGTTTCCTGCCGTGGCCTCACCTAGACGTATATGCCGACTGTGAGTGCCAGGAACACGGTGCCGACTCCCATGAAGAGGGCGGCGATCACGGCCAGCGCTAGCTCCTTCACCAGGTCCCGGGTCAGCTTGGTGCTGGTGACCTGGGGCAGGTCATGGCACGTCCCGTCAGGCGCCTCGCGCGACATGCCGCACAACGGCGGATATGGTAACCGGACAAAAGTACGCACACCAGACATATGTCACGGCAGCTGTTCGCAACCGCACATGATCGAAACCACTCATGGACGCACCGCCTTACTCGTACCGCAGAGGCTCGCAAGCGCAAATGTTCATGATCGCCAATGACGTATTGCAATTGCTCGCACCGCAGAGATTTGTAACCACACGTGTTCGAAGCCCACATGTTCGCACCGCCATTGTTTGGGGATGCCAATGTCGTCATGGCAATCGTTCGAACCGCAAATGTTCGTAGAAAGGATGATCGCAGACGCAAATGTGATGTGCACGTACGCACGCAAGTACGCAAGCACGCACACAGAGAGTCGCACGCTCTTAATTAGTCGTTCATATCTCCTCGTTACCAATATAATAGCCAGGTAGACACAATCTGTACGTACTCAAAAGTCAAATAACTTCATGAAACTCTGTGTATAGCTATAAACCAACACATCGATATGTATTCAACGAGTCTCACTTGCATTACGAAGGCCTGGGTGACCTGACGCCACCCGATTTCTTATTGATGTTGACCTTACCAACGTGCATGTACGAGCATTGGCGACACCAACGATACCAATGTTACACTTTACGAACATCCGCGATACATACGACGATACCAATGTTACACTTAACGAACATCCGCGATACATACAACGATACCAATGTGATACTTGATGAACATACGCGTATACGAACAATTACGATATAAACATCTGCACTTAAGACCTTCTTTGATACGAACATCGCGACACGACCACTTGCGCATACGCATATAAGCGCCCCCATTTTGGTTATGCACATCTGCGTGCTCATAATTGCTATGTCTGTGTTTATAATGTTATCAGCAGATGCGTATCGGCGGGGCGATGAACTCAGCGGCCTAAAAATACACCAAGCTGATACTCACGCCAAAACATGCTACGTTCAAGTTCCAACGACCAAAGGGCATAATGATCATCTACAAGTGGTGTCATTGACACGAGCCGCGACCATCGTTCAACACACGCGCGGTGAAAACACATGAACACATGGCATAAGCCACCCGCGTCCCATAATGTTGAAAGGGCCTTTTGTGATGTCCAATCACTATCCTGTTGTTTTCGCCAACCGTATCGGAGCGGGTGCACGCGCAGGTGCAAATCAGAATCAACGCGGGCATGTGCGATCAGGGGGAGTGGGGACGCCCCACGGAACGCGCCCTACCTCGTACACGAAGAACCAGGCCATATAGAAGATGCCGATGCCGAGCAGGAGCGCCGTCAGGTGCGGGTATATGGAGGGGTTCACCGGCGACACGAACCGGCTCATCTGCTCAATGTCCAACTGAAACCGAACACGCGCCTGATCACGTGTGTACATGGAACATCAGCCTCGATACAGGCCGCCTAACGTGCTCTCCACCAGCCGACGGCCCTCCGCCACCAGGAACCCCGCTCGGAGAGAGCAGGGCGCTCCTGTGGAAGCGCGGCTTTACGCAAAACAACCTAAAAAAATCGGTTTGTATCGTGAGGACCTCATTTTGACTTTGAACATCAACGGTGTACCGCTGTGCAGCGGCTTTATCATCCACGATCTACACATGACAGAAGAGATGTAGTCAAGTGAGCTCCTGAGCGTTTTCACATAAGTTAAGATACCGTTTGCAAACATAAGTTCGTAATAACAAAAAGTCTGCACAAACTACGCATTCGATAGTTTTGGGAGCACGTTGTTCATTATTCTGAGCATAGGGTTACTTCCATGGTTCTTAACTTATTGCGGAATGACTACGCTTGGTACTGCCAGGGGTCCTTGCATACTGTGGCTCGCAACCAAACAACTTATCCAATTTCCCCACATTGTTGGACCTGCTCTCGGCTGAGGCATGCCCCTCGTCACGGCAGAAGGAGGGCAATGTCGCACCATCCCATGTAAGTAGCTATTCCACGGAATTATTGAGACATGAATCGGCGTCACGAATGGGATAATTGTTCGGACTAACGGCCTCGTCTGGTGTGTTGTGCGAACAATCATTCCACCGTGAGAGCTAAGCACTCTCGCATCATACCAATGATTATCAACATCTACGACAATGCCTGCCAATGCCCCATTGCAAACCATTGCTGAGTGCTGGCAGTCTGCCAATGGGAGTAACATACCCTGGTTATCTTAAGGGTAAAGGCATGTCAGGTCAGCTTTTAAAATCCGGTACTGACCGGAGGGGGTTCGAATTTGTCCGCCCCCCGGGTCCAATATTGACAATAATTCAAAAACGTCCTGGGACAACATATCAAAATGAGCGACGTCAGAGTAACGTTATGTATACCAATTTTTAACAAAATCGCATAATCGTAAACAAGTTAACACAGAAGCCGAACGAAAAAACATATTTGACATCTTAAACAGAGAACATGACCCAATCATTCTATCATTAATCTGTCTTGTGTTGTTTCAATATTGCACACTGAAATATTGCAAAGTGAAATAACAAACATACTGATAAAAAGCATACTCCACTTCTTTTGTTTCACACTCAACATGATGCAAACCTGAAAACAGGTGTTCTAGATATGACTACGAAGGATACCTGTCACAAGTTTCAAGTAGTTACCTGTAACAATGACTGAATTATGGCTTTAAATGCCTCGTGGCGCATGTTGCCCGTGGCCAGGTGAGCCCAGACCCGCGGATCAAAGGATCGCTGCGCGGCTGGCGTAACGGAGCTGATTGGCCATCCCGACTACAAGCGCCGCAAAAGTCGGCCGCCACAGAAGACAGCGCGCCGCCAATGTGCCAGCTATGTATGTGAGCGGCACGGCATCGCTGTCCGCGAGTGTGACGTGCGCAGGCGATTCCAATCAGCTCTAAGTGCGCGACACTCGATGTGCCGTTTGAGATGGGTCACAGTAAGCTACATTCAGTTCTGTAGATGGTGTGTGTTTGGGTGAAGCGTGCGTGGCATATCTATGGCGGAAATAAAGAGAGCAAAACAGACATATACACCAAGTTTTCAGCTCTCATTTCACGGCACATGACCTTAACTCTACGCCTGGTACAGCGTGCGTAACATTGGACACCTTCCTATGTAGCGCGTTTGATCAGGACGCGATATTTCACAGCATGAGGTACGCTTCGAAATGGCATGCGCTGTGGGAGGGTTCAGATATTCCAAATAGAAATTTAATAATTTGATCTTAACCTGCGTCCTTAATACACCCTTAAACTTAACTTTGTTGTGTGGTCTGAGACGGCACGCTACGGCGCTATTCAATGTGATTCGAATTTTTGGATTCGGTACAGTCGTTCTCGAGATAATGAGGATCAGTTCTGCCCCCCCCCCCCCCCGGGTCGATGGTGTGCCACTGAGGAGCCAGGTCAATGTCGGGTAAAAGCGCATTACATCATTGTTTTTACCGACAAGCAAACATGAAAAAACAGACGAAGAAGCGAACTCAAGTGGATGCCCTCTTTTACAATCGGACAAAGACACGGGCTCGTGCAATGCCCGATAAAGAAGAGATGGACATCGGTGACGTCTCAAACAACGCAGTTATGCAAGAGCGAAAACGGCCATCCGATGGAACACATTCATCTTTTATCGAAGCAAGGCTGGACTAGACAGCATTTGTCTGCTTTAATGACTGACGAAGTGGTCGCAGACAGACGCATAACGCAAAACATGGCATCATCAATGGGCCAGCGAGATGAAACTACCCGCGGCCGAGTCGGCCGCGCCGGGCTGAACAAATCACGTCCCAGGCAGATAAGCCCGGGGCACGCCAGTCCCAGTACCGGGCGTCAAGTACCGCGGCGGGCGGCCCACCTCTAGCCGAGGCCTGCGCGGCGGCGGGCGGCGCCTATCGCGTGTCGCATTACCGCGGTGGGGTCGCCGGCTGCCTGTCACGCCCGCCGTTCTCCCCGATGAAGTGGAGCCTGCTGTTGGCGGTGCTGGTGACGGCCTCGGCCGACCGGCCGAAGCGGGCCCGGCTCGCCGACGACGGCGTGTTCGCGTCGCTGCAGCCGCAGGACAGCGAGTACCGCGAGCTCCGCTCCCTGGACGGCGTCTGGCAGTTTCGGCTGGCGCCACGCGCCGACCCGGAGCGCGGCTTCCGCGAGCGCTGGTTCGCGGCGCCGCTGGCCGCCTCCGGCGCCGTGTTGCCGATGCCCGTGCCGTCCAGCTACAACGACATCACCGAGCACGCGAGCGTGCGCGACCACCTAGGCTGGGCGTGGTACTCGACCGAGGCGTGGGTGCCACGCTCGTGGGCCGGCCAGCGCGCCGTGCTGCGTGTCGGCAGCGCGCACTACACGGCCAGCGTGTACGTGAACGGAGCGCTGGTGGTCACGCACAGCGGCGGCCACCTGCCGTTCGCCGCCGACGTCACGGACCGCCTCCAGCCCGGCCAGGCCAACCTCGTCACCGTCGCCGTCAACAACACACTGACGGACGTCACCGTGCCGCAGGGTCGCACCGTGTACAAGGACAACAACACCAACTATGTGTACCCAGCCGGCTATGCCACGCTCGAGTACAACTTCGACTTCTTCAACTACGCCGGCATCCACCGGCCGGTGGTGCTGTACACGACGCCGCCGACGTTCATCGACGACGTGGTCGTGACGACGACGCTGGAGAACGACGGCAGCGCCACGGTCAAGTACCACGTCAGCACCAGCTCGCGGCTGTCCGACGACAGCGCCACCATTGAGGTCAGCCTGGCGACGCCCGACGGTAGCGTGATGGCCGAGGCCGCCGGCTCCACCGGCTCCATCAGCGTGACGGCGCCGCAGCTGTGGTGGCCGTACCTGATGGACGCCCAGCCCGGCCGCCAGTACACGCTGGAGGTGCGCATGGCGGCGGCGTCCGGCGCGCGCGACGTCTATCGCCAGAAGTTCGGCATCCGCCAGTTCAGCTGGAACGCCACGACGCTGGCCGTCAACGGCCGGCCCGTCTACATCCGCGGCTTCGGCATGCACGAGGACAGCGACCTACGCGGCAAGGGCCTCGACCTGCCGCTCATCGTCAAGGATTTCAACCTGATCGAGTGGGTGGGCGCCAACTGCTTCCGCACGTCGCACTACCCGTACGCGGAGGAGATCATGGACGCGGCGGACGCGCGCGGCATCCTGGTCATCGACGAGACGCCGGCCGTGTCGCTCGACTACTCTGCCACCGCGGGCGACGACCGCCTGCTGAACGAGCACCTCGCCGCGCTCGACGGCATGATTCGGCGCGACAAGAACCGGCCGTCCGTCTTCATCTGGTCGCTGAGCAACGAGGCCAAGACCAGCCAGCCCGAGGCCGTGCCTTACTACACGCGCCTCGTGAACTACGCGCGCACCCTGGACGGCACCCGGCCGATCACGGCCGTGCTCAACACGTACCCGGACGCGGAGCTGATTGCGCCACTAATTGACGTGGTCTGCGCCAACCGCTACTTCGGCTGGTACTCGGACACGGGCCACACGGAGGTCATCGAGCTGCAGTCGGAGCACTTCTTCACGCTCTGGCACGAAACGTTCCACAAGCCGGTGATCAACTCCGAGTACGGCGCCGACACGGTGGCCGGCCTGCACGAAGAGCCCACTTTCGTCTTCTCCGAGGAGTACCAGACGCAGCTGATGGCGCGCAACTTCCACGCGTTCGAGGCGATGCGCGCGCGGGGCTGGTTCGCCGGCGAGATGATCTGGAACTTCGCCGACTTCATGACCAAGCAGGACACGACGCGCGTGGTTGGCAACCGCAAGGGCATCTTCACGCGGCAGCGGCAGCCCAAGATGGCGGCGCACCTGCTGCGCTCGCGCTACTGGGGCCTGGCGCGGCTGACCGACTGGCCCGACCTGCCGCTGCCCGCCGACCTCATGTTCTCTGAGAGCTACACGGCGCTGGACGACGACCAGTGCCCGGCGCCCTAGTAGGCTGGCGACGAGGGGGCGCGCACGGGCGCATGGGTAGTGGTGCTGCTACCTGGTTGGAGCCCCACTGTCTCCTGGCTTTGTTGATTCCAATCATCTAGCCACCTTCAAGTGTATGATATTGCTGACAATGACAGACCTGTAATGCTCTATAACCATCTGATTACCTGAAGCATCCAGTGTGTAAGACAAGTGTAGTAAGGCATCAGTTGAAGGGGTGCTTATCATGTGTTTGTGTGCATGTATGTGCATCATTTTGCCAATACACAATGGAATGAAGCTTTCAGACCTGTTTTTAAAGCAATGGTAAAGCCTTTGATCTTGATTACTGGATCTGAAATTTTCCAAACAAGCAGTTTTGGAACTTGACATCAAGAGCAGTTGATTTTGTAATGGATAGCCATGTAAGGGGCAGGTCCAATTGCTTCAGTAGTATTATTTGACACAACATATGTAAATCAGAAATGGTACATGTCTAAGTACTGGTCAAGAACACACTGCATCAAGTGTCCTGATAGCCTGGACTTATCAACCTGAAAATAAAGCACAGAACACTTGCTATTTGCATCACAGCATGTTACTGGCTGGCTAAACTTCAGGCTACTCACATGGTGTCTACTGTCTAGATTTAAATAGAGAAAAGGTGAAAGAAATGTTCATTGCACATAGTGCTATCTTCTAGCATTATGACTGCACACTGGGCATTGCAGCCCATGTTCAGCACACTACCATGACATCAGTATTTTAAATGTGGGCAAGACACAGAATGTATGAGCTTTACAAAATATGTATCAACATATAGAAGCTTTTGCTTGGCATATAGGCATGCTAAAGTGGGTCATAAATGTTTGGAAAGAGTGTATTCTGAAATGAGTAATTGGCATACTTCAATATAGGCATGGTGGCCTGCTTCGCTGGATGAACATAGGAAGAATGTTTCCTAATCTTTGGAGGCAGTATAGCTTCCCCATCCATATTACTACAACCACCACAGATGGTGAAAGCATGATGGAGCAGAAGGGCAGCCTTCCCACCTCTGAAGCAAACCCATGCTTGCCTCCAGCACTTCCAGGTTCTGTGACCAATAGTTGATGCATAGTGGCATGGGCATAATTATGCAGAGCTCACAAACCAACAAGACATTTCTGATGTTTGGTTGAGATCACAAGTCAAGGTGTTGCAACAGGACTGCATACATGTAGTGTGACAAACCTGCACAAATCAGCACCTGTCAATGAACTGCTATCAATAAATATAAAAGTTTAATTTCAGAATCCCCAGACAGTTAGCCTTCTCAATGCCTTTGAAAGTCATTTTTCCAATCATACAAACTAAATCTGCAAAAGTCCATCACAGCCATTGAGAATGGTACAAACAAGAGCAGATAAAAGCCCCCACATGTTGTGACAAAAGCCAAAAGCCCAAAGCCAATGCTCTGCAAAACTGCAAAAGCCAATGCTCAAAGCCATTGGAATTGCTTATACCATCATTATCAAATTTTCAACACACTACAAACCAATTTTTTCAATTTTGCAGTTTAATGATTAGCTCTCCTTTAAGTTTATGACTGCAGTCAAAAGTGCAAAATTAAATATTAAGGTACAAATGCATGAGAGGATTTAATATTGATCAATTGCTTCACAGATAATACCTTACCTTACCTTACCTTATGGTGATCGGGAATTGTAAAAGGCCACCAGGCCTGTAGGTCCCGGTCTCGTCAGGCTCCCGGTCCGATAACCTAACATGCACACCTAACATGCACACGGTCCGGTAACCTATAATGCACACATTGCCTAGCCTATTAGCTTTCTCAAGGGTTTTGAGAGCCATTTTCACAATAATGCATACTGGATCTAAAATTTACGGCCAGAGATGCCGACATAACCGAGGCTATGCGCCCCTTCTGTTCGTGTGTCGTGACTTTCCGCAATGAATGTAGCTGCGATGGTTATTGCCTGAAGCCTTAAAAATAACACTTATGAACTCACCATATTTATCAGTTAATAGACAACACCAAACAGTACGCCAAACCACCGCCGTAAGCCTTCAACGTGTCTGGTGCGTCCGGCGTGCCTATTGAACACGTAGACAGTTTCGGCTCGCAAGAACATGTCTCATTTGCGCCACAAACGTATTACGCAAAGCTTCGGTGGCTTAAAATATAGTTAGCTGTCGTAGATTGTAAACACCCAGATATATGCTGCTGTGGGCTGCTTAATGGTACATTTTGTCACTAAATCTCTACAAATTTAATAAAAACTGATGAATAAATTTATTTGAATTCATTTCTGTATGCTAAGATGAGTTTTGAAATGCTTAAGTCAAAATTAGTCATACTTTACAACATTCCCCTCAAAATAATCAGAAGCATCAGCTGAAAACGTTTCACAACTACAGATTGTAGGGTATCCCTCATCAGCTGATGGCGTAGACTGCGCCAGAAGCCGCGCAGGAGCAGGGGGTTTTTGGATTTGAATGTGCGTTGGAGACGTTGGGTCTTGATAATTTTGTGACCTACGGGTCCAAAAATGCGGGGAAATTGTACGCTGTTGTACAATGCACGTTTTGATGCTTGTCTGTGATTTCTGTGTGAGGGTGTCGGGAACTGGGAAGCCTGCCCGTCCAGTCGGGCAATTATCAAGGATGAATCCAATGTGAATGTTCTATGATATATTTTGCGATTTTACACCATCCTGCACATCTTATCAGTTTTTATGGTGTAAAGTGGCAGGAGAAAGACATTTGCAGCTTGACGTAAGTCCGCTCAGTCAAATGATACATAAATATAAGTAAATGGTGAACAGTCTTCTGCTGTCGTTTTGATAAAGGTGTGTTGCGAAAATATCAACCCATCTGTATCTCAGTTCTCTTGGTTTTTCTCCAGGGAATAAGGCTACTACTACTGTATTTTGTATGTGTGTAATGTTCCTCGCAGATGCACTGAACAACTTACTCTCAGTGAATCAAAGTTTAAGTCGGTTAAAGTCAGTTGAAATACTTGCACACAGCAAAAATTTGGTCAATGTTGTTGGAACTAAGCCCTATTCCTTAGTATGTTTGTCTTATGTTTATTTTAATTCAGATATCTATGAAAAATTAATTCAGGCCTGCAAGGCCTTATGTTGCTGTTGAAGTCACTAAAGTGTTCACATTGCATCATTTGTAATGCCTATTACAGCCTTGTGGATCAGTCATAGCAGAAGATAATGTTTTTCACACCATGGAGTAGAAGTAATCAAATCCTAAACTCATTTTTTCATGATAGTTTTGCAAATATATTAGGTGAATTGGGGATTAGGTTGAGCTATGATTTAGGTGTATGCATGCCTTGGGCCTTTGTGGGTAAGGATTTTGGTCATCAATGACAGATGGCAACTATTACAGATGAAATGTAGTATACCACAGGCCTTGCATGAATCAGTATATAGAGACAAGCATTTATTATCATATGGCCAGGATAAAACTCATCCTAATTTTTGTCACCTCTTCATGACTCCTCAGTCATGCTATAATGGATGCAGTGCATTGTTTTTTGTATCATTTCTGAACAACTTTTGTCAGCATTTGTGCTTGGTTGTCAGATGTCTGGTTAATGTCAATTGTAAATTGTCAGCTGTTTAGTTTTTAGCTGATGAACTGATGCTATCTGCACAGTCCTGTTGATGTTTTGAAATTACTGAGTGGTACAGAAATGTGGTTTCCAAAAAAGATAACACAACACCTAATGTTTGGCCACCTTTGGTTTTTCCTATGTAATCATGTTCCAGATATGTTACTGCAAAGTGAGTGCATGTATTAAGATTGTCAAGACAGAATGACATGCACTGTGGATTGTCCTAATACAGTGTCTTGTCTGTACCTCACATTTCAACCAAGTTGGCATAAATATGTCTCTGTAAACTTTGCCACAAATATTTTAGAAAATGTCTCAGTTAATACTTCATTGTGTTTACCATATACATTTATTTCTGTCATTTCAGTACACAGAATGGCACCTAAGCCCAAACATCAAAAGACTGCAAAAGGAAAAGAACATAGCAAGCTGAAGGATGACAATGAGTCCAGCATTAAACTAGACCATTGTGCTCTCAGCTTGTCAGATATATTGGCCATAGACCATGAGCATTCCCTCCCCAGATATGCTGCAGGTAATGTGAAGCAAGCAGATGTGTTAACATAAATCAACTGTCTCCAACTTGTTTGCTGTGAGGCATGGCATGTAAATTTCCTCAGGGTGTAGTTGTTTGTAGGACATATTGTGCAAAACTGTATGTTGTCTTTTTTGTGCCTTGAGTCATGATTTCCAGACTTGGATGACAGTTCTTTATTGGTGTAGCAGGTCTTCTATAAAAAAGAATCACACTCAACTTGGCAGGGCATAATGGCTGAGTGGTTAGCACCATTGGCTCCCATATGGGGGATGGGGTTCCATGCTCAATCCCCAGTTGAGCATGCTCCCTTCAGTGTCTTATGACCTCTGCAGGCACTGGTTGTGACTGACCTCCATAAAGGGGTGGGCGGCGACGTGCGTCACGTTTCCTAGCATAAAAGGCATAGAGGCAGGTGGCATTGGTAGTATGTTGACTGCACAGCCGCTGACCTCTGTCGGCCGTCAGTGGTGTCTCGGCCGGACGGCACCGTCACAATGGAGGACGTGGACCGGATACAGCTGGAGCTGGAGGCCCTGCTGTCCGCCGCCACCATCCGCCGGAAGACGGTCAGCGCCGAGATCAAGCTCATCAACGGCATGGACAAGCGACGCGGCCGGCCGCCGACCGCGGTACGTCGCGTTCCAGTTGCTCCCACTATGTCATGTTTGTGTGGACGGATCACTTCCAGTCGCGTGATGTCGTGCGTGCCGGTGTCCGTCCGCGACGAGGCGCTGCACGTGACGTCAGTGACGTGACGGGGGCGTCAGCGCTGACGGGGCGCCGCCGCTCTTCAGGCCGGGCCGGGCTCTCCGGGGAAGGTAGCCAGAAGCGGCGAGCGGCCCGTCAAGAAGTTCAAGGACTCCTTCGGGAGGGCGAAGGAAGTTACCCCGATCAAGCCGCCCAGGGTCCGGGTCCCGTCCGGGGTGAGTGGCGTTGTACGGTGTCTGCCGTCCGCACAACCGCACCATCGCATTGACGGCTCCGGAACGCGTCGGAGGCAGTTCTTGTGAGACTGCATTCTTCGTATAGTTCGATTCACGGCCATCAACACTACTAGGCGACTGCAGCGATGTTGAAGCGCATTGCTCGACGGCTTTCATCAAACTGCACGAATTCCAGATCGCAAGTTCAGTTTTGGGACTTGCAGGAAAGTCACGCTGTGGTGCATTGAACGAAGTGGTGCCCAGGTCTGAACGTCGGTGCCCATCCAAGCGTCCAACGCACTGGTTCACGAGCTGTCGAGATGGCGTTTCCATGCAGTGTTGTTGACACGTCTACAGGCCTACAACTCGGAGGACATCCTGCCGCAAATCAAGGCCGATCCCACTATGCCGTCGCCCGTGGTGAAAAACGACATCCCTGACAAGTTCTGGGCGGCGATGGAGCAGTACTGCGGCCCCATCACGACAAAGGACGTGGAGGTGGGTACTCGAATCCTCGTCATAGCCTACCGACCTTGCCTGGGACAGGTGTTTTGGAGTACAGGTGTTTTGGAGTAAAACGTTTGAAGGGAATGTTCCGCATTTGAAGATATGGAAGTAAGTATGATAGATGATGAAATAAGCTGAATTTAAACTATTTGTTTAATTTTCGGTAAAAAGCTCAGCTCCAGACTAAACAAATTTCTAGTTTATGAATATGTTCCTCAATATGTTATTGTTTGATTGCACCATGGAACGTTTGTATGCCGTTCAGGACCTACCAAGCTAGCCATGCGCAATTGTCAGGGTAGTTTTCACATCGAGTACTTCGTGATCACGGACGCCAGATCTAAACGGCTCGACGAAAATGTTGTTCATGGGCTTGAACGCCGCATGTCCGATTGGGTGGCAGGATTTCAATGACGTTGATATGGTGGCATGCATATCTGAATGACCTTGAAATGACCTTCAGGGGCAGAGGCTTCAAAAGTGGCCTTAGCGGGCGGTCGTGAAGTCCATGAATTGGAGGGTTTCAGGTCTTGAAGAGGACAGAGCTGTGAACTGCACGGAATGGTCCTAAAAATGTCTGTTTCATTTCAAACCCCATACAGATGTGGAGTTTTCCTTTTGGTCACAACGGAATTCATGCAGGAACGTCTCTTATTCCATGGTCATCCCGTAGCTGATGGCTCCCCTCGTTCCACTCCGGCCCTCCGGCATGCAGCTGACGGTGTCTGACGCCGTGTACTGCGGCCGACCATGCGCGGCGGCCGCCGTGTGACGCCGTTTGTCGCGCGCAGATGCTGGAGCGGCTGAGTGCCGACCGGGAGGACATGGACGAGTGCCTGACGGTGCCCCCACTCGGCAAGCACTACACGCTCAAGTGGGCCGAGGAGGACGGACAGGACGACGGTGACTCCGACTCCGAGGACGAGAACAAGACGCAGACCAAGGCCAAGGCCAAAATAAAAAGGTGCCGTTGGCTGGACGACTCCTCAGGTCTCGACCGGCGCGGGAGGGGGGAGCTGGGTCTGCTGGCGTCCGTTCCGTTGCCGCGCTTGGCTGCAATACCGCGCAGCTGTCTACCGGCAGCTGTACTCTGGGAGGATGTGGGCACTTGGCGTGTGGCTCGCGGCTTTGAACGCCGTGTGCG